CTTAAGGGGGGGGGGGGGGGGTGGTGGAGAATTTGGAGAGCGCTCACACTGCTGTTTCTGCTCTCTAGAGCCTGAGGTTTCATTAAAGCCTCATTTTGAACCTAATTTTAAAACTCCACCAAACCAAGGCTGCTGTCCCCAGCAGGGTTTTATTTTTAACCCGAGTTGAATGCACTGGACTTCCTTGGGTTCGACTCCCAACACCTATTGTCTGCTCCAAGGCGCGCAATGTGGTCACAGCCCTTGAGACGTGGCCTGCGCAAGATGAGCAGTCGCCACGTCCGGCTGAGCCCTTTTTCCGATGCTGCAGCGAGCTCTCAAAGTCAGTCTGGTCCCCTGTGGGAAACCAAGCGCGCGCTGCAGCAACAGGCCAAGGTCGGGCCCAGCTCTGCCGCCAAGGGCAGGCGTGTCAACATCTTGGGGGATATTTTAAGGGCTCACCGTTTTGTTTGCAAGCTGGAGCAGCTGCGGTCGGCAAAGCGAAACATGGTGGCTCAGACCAGAGGCAGGCGCTGCAGCATGGGGGCAGCGAAGCCACCTGCCTGTCCACCACAGCCGTGCAAGCCTGGCTGAGATCTGCACATGAACACCACCTTCCAGCTGCAGGGCCTCCACACCAGGCGCTCATGCTAAACTGCCGATTCCTTCACCTCATGCCATCCATCAGGGACTCTAGCCAGGTCAACCAGTCAGGAACCAGGGCAAAGAAGATCCCTGGACAGGTCTGCAATGCACTGACATGCTCCCTCAAATCATCTGCTCACTGAGGGCCAGCTCCTCGCATGCTCCAGGCAACGCGGTGCAACAGCCCTGAGCGCACTGCAAGGCAGCCAGGTGCTGCAGCCTGCTCCTTTGTGCCCTAAGCCCAGTCACCACACTGGACTTTCCAAGACGCGTCTCTCGGGTGCCCTCTGCCGTGCCCCCAGTTCGGTGTGCATGTGCTTGGAAAGAGGGCCCGTTGGGGGAGAGAGGAAGCCATTCCGGTGGTGGCCTATGAATACCATCCAGTGATTTATAGGAAGTATAATCCAATAACACAGTAAAATAAAACAGTGTGTCTGAGAGGGGCTTGATTCCAGGAATTATAAAACAAATTATTAAAGAGAGAGAGAAAGAAAAAAGCCCTAGAGAGGCCAGATTGGAGTAAATTGGGCACAGATGGGCTGGGAGGGGGCTTCTCTCTCCCCACCGAGATGCCCCTGCCGCAAGCACGGCTTCAATTAGCCTTTTCAGAAACCAGAGTTTTATTTCCCCAAATTACGGAATTAAAAAAAAATTAACATTCTTGGAGCGTCTGTGGTTAGGATGAGGAGATCCAAACTTCCTTGCGCGCCCCATGTGCAGATGGCCACCAAACTGTTAAATGTGGCCACCCAACACAGTCCCCACAGGACACCCCATCTCACCACCACCTACATCTCAGGCTGGGAAGTGCTAACCCCAATGCTAACCACAGCAAGGCTCAGTGCTGAGCCTGCACCCAGGCTCCTGTCCCCTCTCTAGTGGGAGGCCCTTCTCCCATCCCAGTCTTGGACTTGCCCTAGCACTACCAGGCACTTTCCCTGCAAAGCCCTAGCCCTGGACCTCCTGCATGCCAGTGGAGGGAGTGGGATCACTGCATGCCATTTGGTGATGGATAGCCAAGGAGAAACCTTCCCACATGGGATTCTTGGCTCCACCTGAGCCTGAAAACAAATGGCCAGTCCCATCTCCCACCCTGCTGCCCGGCTTCAAGACGGCAGGTGGCTTGGCCCCAGCTGTAGCACATTTGGCCCCACCTACATTGCAGAGGCCTGGCACAACAGCTCTCCCATTGCCAACTCCAGAGCAGATCCCTCAGTGCACACAGCAGCTGTGGTAGCCTTGTCTGACCCTCCTGAGAGTGGGCCCAGTCGACAGTCAGGAAAGCTAGGGGATCTTCCCCTCGTGGGACAGGGCCTGGAAATCCTCTGGAGGGAAGGCAAGCAGGCAACTACCCACTGGGCAGCAGGAAGCCTAGAGCAGAACCAACTCCCCTCTGTGCCCTCAAGACAGTGACTGGACCTCAGTCTGCACACACCAGCCCATGCACTGGAACAGACCCATGCTCCACCCAGGGCAGGCACTGCAAAGCCAATACAGCTGTGCCGGGGCCTTGTGTCTGCAGGCCCCCATGACACCCTGCCAGCAGTTCAGACACTGACAGGGAAGGACACAGGGCAGAACGGCTTCCAATTCACCGCTCCCTTTGGCGCCTGCCTCGCCCAGGAGCAGGCAAAGGTCTTAAGGCTTCTCAGGCTCCTCCAGATGCTTCTCTGCAGATGGTGATGAGCCACAAGGCCCCTCCCGCCACTGTCCATGCAAGGGCAGCACGCAGAGGTGACTCATGTGCTGGGAAATGGAAACATGCATCTTCCCACCAGCCCGCACTGCAGAGTGCTCCTCCATGCAGCCCCTGCCCACGGCAGCCCACACACTGGGGAACTGAGCCAACACCTCTACTATGCACCAGGCATTCGGCAGCAACGTGGCAAACGTGGCTAGCATTTTAAGCCCCAGGTCCTTTTGCTCTTCCTCAGAGCCCAGCCCTCAGCACCTCAAGCCCAGGTTTTCCAGCCTTCTGCACTTGAGTGCCTTGGAGATCCCGGGGCATTTGGACAGGCCACAGCATGCGAGCAATAGCACTGGGAGTCTGAAACACTGTGGCCCAGCAGGACACCAGACAAGAACCACAGCACCATCCAGCCTTCCACCGTTTCCTCACAGTCACTCATTGCAGGCACCTTGCTGAACCCTGGACTGCCAAGGGGCTGCCCTCTGCAGAGACCTGAAGCCAGGAGTAGCTGACACCTCATCACACAAGAGGGAGAGAACCCTTTTCAGACTCGTCTGTCCCAGCCCTGCAGGCTCCACTGCACAGCCCAGGACAGAGCAGCACAGCGGGCCAGAGGGCCCAGACTGCTGGACTGTACCCTCACCTCTGTCCCTGGCTGGCTGTATGCCCTGCCCCTCTGTGCCCCCACTCTCCCTCAATACATAGCGACTCAACCCCTGGGGGGCTCTGCAAGTCACCAGCTTTTTCCTCAAAGCTGGGAAAGATTAAGGTTTGCTGGGGCCAGCTGGCATCAAGCAGAAGGGGGATGCAGCTGCCTTGTGCCTCACATGGCTCCTGTGGCCAGGTCGTGAATGTGGGGACTCCTCCTCGCAGAGGGAGGTGCCTGTGGGGCAGGAGTGATGCTGTCTGCTCCTCCACACAGCCTCTGTCCACAAGGCCTGGGGCCATGCAGACACGGGAGCACTTCCTGCCTCTCCAGCACTTGCCAGCTCACACAGTCAGTGGCCTCGCCCACCAGGAACCTGTCGGATGCCCCAACTAGCCAACTGCCTCACAGGGCCAAGCTTAGGTCATGAGGCTTTGGGGGGCACGGAGTACACTGCACTCTGGGCTGGTATGCACCTCACAGCCTGGGTGCAGTGGCAGCATGCCAGCAAGGCAGGGGAGAAAGCAACATACTGCGGAGCTGACACAGATGAACTGCTTCCTCCTGCCTGGGGGCACAGCCCAAGCCCTGCACGCACGGTGCCCGGAAGCACAGCCACCTGCTGCCGCACTTCACTTTGTCGGCTCTGAGGAAGAGGAACTCACCCCAGGAGACTCAAACTCCATCGCAGTGGGGGTGCAGGCCCGGGGTATTCACTTGGCTAGACTCAGTGCTACAATGGCAGAGCCCAGGTGTCAGGGAACAGCCACTCTGCTCCCCAGCAGACTCCCTGGGGCAAACCAGGCCAGACACCAGCATCCAGATACCAGGATGCTCCAGCTCCTACAAGTGCTCAGGCTCAGCAATGATGCTGGTGCTTTGGGCCTCTGTCGACGCCAGGGAGCCAAGCCAGGGCAGGCCTGTCAGACCACCAGGGCTTCATCATATTCTGGGGAACTCTGGCTGTCAGGGTGGCATAATGAACCGCACCCTCTCACTCTGCTGCCCCCTTTACACCCTTGCCAGCACAGTCCTCAGGCCAGCTACCTTGGTCCTACACGGAGCATAGTCCCTTCTGGGGCACAGCAGAGGCTTCGCTCTGCCTCTGGAGAAACTCTAGGATCTCAGCAAGCCAGGGCCCTTCCCGCTGCCATCCCCCTGCATTGAGAGGCAGATGAGAGGCAGCTCTGCTTCCCCTGCATGTGAAGTCCAGGGACCCCCACCCACTCTCTTGCATCAGCATCCCACACAGAGCAATCCCAGGCCCTGCCCAGCCCCCTGAGGACGTGTCATACCTTTGGGCTGGGAGTTGTACACTGCAAACATGTTGACGGCCACAAGCTGCAGCATGCGGGTGCTTCCAATGGGAGGTGGGCTGTGCTGCAGCAGCACCTGGAATGCCCTCAGGACCTCCTCAGCCACTGCAGGGAACGTCTCCATCCTGCAGAGAGAGAGAGAGAGAGAGAGAGAGAGAGGGAGAGAGAGAGGGGCTGTGAGTCTGGGTTAAGCCATGGACCCTGAAATACCACCTCTGGGACAGCCCTGCAGTCCAAAGCCATGAGGAGACAGCCTAACTAACCACCCTGGGAGTTGAGGGGAGCTTCCCTTGCAAATGTCATTAGGGCCATTTCTGGGTGTGGGGTTCTCTCACGGTGGCCCCAGCTCAGCCATCATGATGCAGTCCTGTGCTAGCACCAAGAGTCCCCTGGGCTGTGTGGTCTCCCCCACACTGGGAAGCCCCAGCCTGGCCATGGGAGAAGGCCATGCAGTCCTCTGAAGACTAAAGGCCAGCTGCGCTCAGATGGCAACGGTCAGTGCATCAACACCAGTGTCGGAGCTACAGCTGCTTCCTGGAATGCTCAAGCAGCCCCTAGCACTCGCCAGGCGGGAGAAGGCATCACATGCACTGCCCAGCCTCCCAGGAACGGCCTTTCAGCACCAGAGGCCACGGCACTCACTGGCACCGCCAGCCAAGGAAGCCAGACACAGTGACACTGCTCTTCATCTAGCATCACCACGGAAAGGAGTAGGGGCTCTAACATCTGAGCAGCCAGGGGCAGGGCACCATCCAGCAGGAGCAGCCAGGCCACCCAAGCAAATGAGCATGCAAAGGAGGCCTGGCTGTTTGGAGGAAGGGCTTATGTGATGCAGCTGCCAGAAGAGCAGGGTCTAGAGGACACCCACAGCATGCTCAGCACCTCATATCCATGGAGCAGGGCCTTGCTCCCAAAAGCCCACAAGCAAACTGCTGGCAGGAAGGGGCAGCATGTTCTCCAGGGCCATAGGCACCCTGTGCTCCCCCTTTGCTCAGGGCAGCATCCTGTACTTCTAAGGGCACGTGGTCCCTCCCTCTGCTTCGGAGGGTCATCCTGTAGCTCACCCCTACAACAGACCCCATACAGCTGCAGCCAGGGGCCTCACCTAGCTAGGGATCTCTGCAGTCCCTTGAGGCACCTGCCAGGTCCCATCCCCCGGAACACAAGGCACAGCCACTTCCAGAGGCACAAAGGAAAAGCCAAACTGCCCTGAGAAGATGCAGGCCCCCTACCATGCCCCACGCTCTCCCTCAGAGCACCCGATCACCCTCCCCAGACAGTCAGACACGAGGTTTTGGAGTGCAGACTGCAGAAGCAAGCTCTTTCTGGTAACTCGCAGGCAATTCTGCTGGGCTTTCCCAATAGTCCCGCAGGCCGAGCAGCAATCAGCTCTGCTTTCAAAGACAGCTCTGGCTTTCTTCTCAATTGTGGTTCACAGATGCCTTTTAACAGCCCCCCGCTACCCAGCAGCAGGGCTGCCCACTCCCTCGGCACCGTCTGCTAAGGCTGTGCAGTCAGCCACTTCCTCTCTCCCCACATCGATGTTGGCTGCAACAGCCCAAGTATTCTGCAGCCCCGCAGGAGGAGCCTGGCCCCTTTCTGCACAGCACAGCTGCTCCCCACGAAGACACAACCGCCCTGGTGTCTGGGAGCCAGGAGCACACCGAGAGCAAGAGGACTGCTCGTACAGGTTCCCCGCCACATGCAGCTCACCACAGAACAGCAGCACCCTCCCAGCACCAGCACGCTAAGGGGAAAGGCCCTTTTGGGGCAGACATCTGCTCCCATTTTCCTTTACTCAGTACAGGACCAAACACCGTGGCTAGGCTGGGACACTGGAGGCCCTCGGGAGTGAAAGCTCGCTTGTCCCAGGCAGCCGTGCTCTGTTCCCCCTGACCGAGCACACAACTCAGACAGATAGGAACAGAGCACAAGCCTGCTCTGAACCGCCAGCCTCTGGGGCTCAGGATGAGACCCAAGCCCTCAAAAGCTGCCTGATCCCAGATCACCTCTGCACAGCAGAACAGATCCACATCCCACCTATCACCTCTTTTAAGCACAGAAGCTGCACTGGCCAATCTCGCTTCCTGGGTCACGACATTACTTTTGAGCTCCCTTGCTAATGCTGAGGGAAGAGGCTCTGCTGTCAAGCATGCCTGGGCCTTCTGAAATGACTGTGCTGGGCAGCGACCTCCTCAGAGGCTGCATTTCAATTTTGTGAGAGTCTCAGGAGACAAACCTACAAATGATCCCCACAACACCCGTTCACCCACCCTGCTGGCAAGCACTCAGACTAGAACCACCCAGGAGCACAGACAGAGCAGAGGTCAGTACAGGCCAGTCCCCAGGCACGGCACCCACACACAGGGGAATGCAGCTGCCCCATGCTTTCCTGTGTGCAGGGGGACGGCCAGTTCCCTGGCTCCTCACTGTGGCCCAGCCTGCTGCCCACACTCCCACTAGTAGTGGGACTCAGGCAGGGATCCACAGTGCTACTTAAGGGCAGCTAGCCCCTGCCCTCCAGAGGACAGCTCTCCCCCAATGGGCCAGGGTGGCTCACACTTCTCACTGACAGAGGAGATCCAAAGCCCAACTGAAGATCACAAATGCCTGCAGGATGGGAGGTGGGCCGGCAGATCCGTCCCTCGGAGCACAAGCTCCTGGGGGCAGGCCCTGGGACTCTACCTAGACTGAGCTCATGGTGCTGCTCAGTGAGACTGCCCAGACACATCCTCCTGCCCACAGGACACATTCCCTTTTTCCGCAGAAGGGGGGAGACAGAAACCCAGGTAGAGACTGAGAACAGCACTGCCTGGGCAGAAAGATACCACCCCAAGAAGGACCGTCTTTTCAAGGGACAGCCTTGGGCTCATTTGGGTGTCTAGCAACTGATAGTACATGGAACTATTAAAGACTGGAGGGGCCGATGCACACCCCCAGTAGGGCACTGGTAGAGGGTACACTTCCCTGTAGGGCAGTGGCAGGCAGGAGACTAATGCTGCCAGAGCAGATGTCTACCACATGGAGAGCAACTCCTGAGGTATGGACCAGAAAACAGGCCACACCATCACACCAGAGCAACTGGAAAAGAGGTCTTACTGCCAGCCCAGACACCAGGCAACAAGCGCAGAGGACCCCAGACACCCAGCAGCACCAGCCTCTGCCTAGACAGGGCCCAGACAAGGCACCATGGAAAGCTTGCTGGCCACTAGGCCACACGCATGCTCCCTGGTTTATACCCATGTGCTCCAGGCTGGGATGTGAGCCCAGGCCTGAATCAGCCTTGCCCTACTTTGAGGAAGGCTGCTCAATTGTCTGACACCCACTTATGACACACATTGCCAAGGGCATTTTGTATAATCCCGTTCCCACAGCCAGGGGAGCTCTTAACTGAGCGCTTCCCAGCAAACGGTGACAAAGGAAGCAAGGGGTCAAGCGGGTCTCGCCGCACTCTGGACAACAGGTCTGCAGCCATGGGACTGCAAAAACTCCCTGATGAAGCTGAGCAGCCAGCAAGGCCCAGAGCAGCCTCTTGCTGGCAAAGAACATGGTGCAGAAGGCTTGAATGAGCCATAGAGGGGAGGGGACCAGGGACAGACAGGAAATGCAAGGCAGCTCCTGGTATTCCCATGGAATGCCATGCACCCTGGGGCCTCAGGCCAAGGCCAAGGCCAAGGCCAACCTCCACACAGACCCCCCAGCACCCCACCATGATGCTGCCTCAAGGTGGGGGAAAGGAGGCAGAACTCAAACACCACACAGTGCAAGGCTGGAGGGTGGCTAAGGGGGAGAATGAGAAGCAGGAGGCTAGGCCTGCAAGAATTCACACCCTGTGCCCTCAGTTACAAACACAGCCTAGTTGCTAACAATATTAAATTCCAAAAAGACTTGTAATGTAGGAAAATAAAATAAACATCCTGCACACTTACCCAATCCTGGTAAACAGCTTCCCATGGGCATGGAGAAAACTGAGGATGAACCTTTTGTTCAGCTGCATGGGAAAAAAAAGAGGAGAAAACAATTAAGCTCTCCCCGATTTCCTGTGAATTAGCAGAGTCCCTGGTGACAGAAGAACCTGGCCGGGATACGGGGGGTGGGCACGGCAGATGGGAACCAAATGGACGTGCCCAAGCTTTTACAAACATCATGTACAGACAGGGCAAGTGCCAAACAGCTGGAGAGGGGGCTGGCCCGCAGCTGGACGGGTGCGTAGCGCCCTCTGCTGGCTGCTGTGCCCGTTGGCAGGAGACAGAGGCCAGGAGCTCCTGCTCAGCACCCGCAGACAAGCCAGGGCCTGGAGGCAGCAGGGAGAGGCTGCAGGAGTGCTGGGTGAGCATCTATCCCTGCCTGGGCTGGATGCCAGGCATCGTCCTGGCACTGCACAAAGTAGCTGCTATGCGGCGGCTCGCTCTCAGGTCCTGCCACTCAGTAAGAAGGGGCCACAAAATGTATGCTCCAATGCAGAGAGGGGAAAGCCAGGCTACTCCTTCAGCCCTCGCCTCCCTCCGCAGAGGCCACCATGCTACTAGTGGGGGGACCACACTCTCATGTTCTAGCAGTAGGCAAGGCAAAGAGGTGCCAGAAACTGGACACCCAAGCACCCTCCAGCCTGGCCCTGGGAGTGAGGCCCAGCACACACACACCTGCCGTGACACTGCACCCAGGCTGGGCTGGGCCTGGCCTGGACTTCTATGCACACCTGCAGCTTTGGTCTAAATGCCAGTTTTAGACACCCACAGGACAGGGTAGGGAAGGACCTGTCTTTATTGGACAGAAAGGCCCCTGCAAGTCTATGGCACCAGAAACACTGATATAGGACAGGGCTTGGCACTGATCTGAGCATTCTTCTTCCTGGGTTCCTATTGAATGTGGGGTGGAGCTACTGCCGGAAGAGCCATGTATAATGTAAGAGTCAAACTCCAGGCCCGGCCCACACATGGGCATGAAGGACCCCAAGACACCTGCCCTGGCCAACCCCCAGCCTGGGTAATCTCCTGCATTACTGAATCTCTGCTGCAGGTCCAGGGAAGGCCAGACTTTTCTGCTACTTCTGGCTGTGGTGGGTAGTTAAAGCGTTACTGTGCTTCACCCAGAGGTGGCTGCCCTGAAGCAGCGGCCCTGTGTCCCTCCCAGTGGGGCTGAGGCTTACTGGAAAACACTCGGGTCCTTGGGTGCATGGGGACAAAGATGCAACCCCAAAGCCCAGCCCTGAAAGACCTGCACAGAGGAGAGGTGCAACCCAGGAAACCAGTAACCACAGCCAGGCCCAGAGCGCAGCCCCCTGGACCTGCCTGCAAATGTTTACAGCTTTAGTAACTGTCTCATCTTTGAGCCCAACACACAGCATGAAGGCAGGAACCAGCCCGACCCTCATTTCAGATGGGAAAACCGAGGCATGGGCAAGGGCAAGAGACTCCCAGGCCAGCAGCAGAGCCTGGAGCTGAACTCAGCCATCCAGGGTCCCAAGCCAGCACCCAAAGCACAGCTGACAGGACAGATGGTGGTGAGGATGGGACTGGCTGTATGGCCACCTTGTCTGCTTCACTTGCCAGCCAAAGCCCAGTATGTGCACAAGCTGCCCTTGCAGTGGGACTGGTTGATTAGCAGTAATTAGCTAGGCTGGAGGTCCCCAGGGCCTATGCCGGAGTGATGCCCTGCTACAGAGTCACTCTTGGGCCATGTGCGAGCTGAAACAGCCTGACTCATAAAACAGCCCAGACCAATTAAACTGGGCCCTGCAGCCACAGGCGCTTGCTGGCTTGCTCACTGTTTCTGCCACCCCACAGAAGCCCTTGCACGGGAACCTGACTCGATTTGCTACCATTTTATTAACTCCGCAGATGAAGCCCACAAGTGCCTGCTGGATCTGGGGCTGGTAGGCACAGCTGCACTGGTGGGCAGTGTCCAGGCTGGGCCCATGCTCCGTGTGCTAGCCAGGCTCAGGTACAACATGCCAGGCTGTCCTGCTGCCTCTCCTAGGAAAGCCAATGCCACTTTGAGGTGTTGAGGCCAGGCTTAAATGCTGTAAGTACTCACAGAATTTAAGCCAGCACTACCATGGGAGCCCAACCCCACAGCGTGCCCTGTGCTCTCACTGCAGCTCTGTGATGGAGCTGCCGGCAGCTGCCCATGAGTGAGGGGGCAGAGGAAGGGAAATGGAGGGGTGCAGAAGCCGCTCTTTCTCTGGACCTACCCACAGTCTCAAGAGCTCTCAATGTGCAACCACTGCTGCCATTTACTGACAGTGGGGGAGTGACAGCTCCCACCTTGAATGGAAAGTGACACCCCAGGGGAAGTGTGAACCAGAGCCTCCCACAGAGTGCACCTGCCTGTGGGGGGCGGGGCTGGGGGCAGAAGCCCCACCGAACGCCCCAGGGAGAGCACCAGCCTGCAGTCCAGCACAGGGCTGGGCCTCTCCCACTGTAGTCCCTGGGGGTGGATGGCAACCACGTGCCACATGCTGCCCGGGCTGGGGCTGGGAATGCCCAGAGCCGCTCTAGGGAAGCAGTGGAGGGCAGCACTGACTGGGCTGGGCAGAGAGGGCAAAGGTGCCCCTTGCAGTGGCTGCACGGGCAGGCTGCGCCTCTCGAGAGGGCTTTTGACACAACTTTGACCCCAGGTTTTGATGAGCTCATCACTTGACACTGGAACTTTCATCTCAGGGTTCATCTCATGGCCACTGGCTGCTCTGACTGGGCTTGTCTCTGAATGACTCTTTCCCTGGTGACTCACCTGCCGCTCAGTTTCTGGGAGCCCTCCTGCCCATCCACTCAAATGCTGCTTCTCACAGCCATGGGAAACAGTGGCTTCCACCAAGCCAGGAGTGGGGCAGGGCTCAGGGCTGGGGGAAGAGGAAGTGATGTCACCTGCTCTTTGGTGCTGTGGGGGGGGACACTTCCCCAAACTACGATAGCGTGTTACGCTGAGGCAGGCAGCAGCAGACGGAGCTACCAGAGCCCAGCTCCTTTCAGCTCCCCAGAACCTTCCTCCCACTAGCTACCAGCCCTCCAGCCTGCCCTGCTCCAGACAGTGGCCTGCCGTGCCATGCCAGCCCTTCCAGAGGGCTCTGGGAGGGGCTGGACAGGGCACAGCTTGTGCTGCACACTGAGGCCTAGGGGAGAGCAGGGTGCGCTGCCCATATAGTTCCTGCACTCTGCAACAGGCTCCCTCGTGCCAGCCCGTCTAAGCTCCTCAATCTGTTATTTGGGCAATGGCAACTTTCTCACAAGGAGGGCAGTAAGCACGGGAACAGGTCACCCAGAGAGGTGGTGGTGTCTCCATCTTTGGAGGCTTTTAAGACCCGGGTACACAAAGCCTCGGCTGGGATGATGGAGTTGGGGCTGGTCCTGCTTGGAGCAGGGGGTTGCACTAGATGTAGCCTCCTGAGGTCCCTTCTAACCCCTAATTTTCTACGACTCTATGATGCGGTAGGGGACCGCAGTAACTGGCAAGGGAGGGAAGGCCTCCAAAGCAGGGCTCAGGTACCCGGAAGGCAGGCACCCTAAGACAGAATCCAGGAGCACACAACAGAGGCCCCTAGTCCCAGAAGCAGACCAGCTGTCAGGGGGGCTAGGGGAACCAGGCATTCAGCAGAGCCTGGAACTGAAAACAGCTGCCTCGGCTGCCATGAGCCAGTGCGTGCGGACAGACTAACCCCGCTGGGAGGAGGCATCCACCACACCAGAGCAAGCAGCCTGCTCCCATCCACGGAGCGCTCACACAGAGCCTCAACAAGCACCCTGGACTGTTACCAGGGAAGGAATCTGCAGTGACTAAGAGCTGGGAGAGGAGCTAAGCAAGCAGAGAACAGATAGCAAGCATAGTGGGAAAGCCAGGGATGCCGCAACAAGCACACTGGAACCTCCAGCCAGACAGCCTCAGGCTGGCAGCATGGCTCAAGGAAAAGCTTGCTAAGCCATTCATCAGGAACAACCCTGCTTCAAGGGACTCAGCACTGCCCAAGAAAGGCCTGCAAATATCTCCCAGCCCAGGACAGCAGTGCCAGGACCACAGTCAAGGCACCCAAGAAAGGCAGCAGGAAGTGGCAAGTCACCCTGTGCGCCGCCCGGCTTGCAGCGAGCAGCCGGGGCTTGCGCGCAGAGCTTTGGCACCTGCGCATCAGCTCAGCCGCGGACGAGGCACCAAATAAGGGAAGGATTCTGGGCAGCAACTCCAGGAGAAAAGCAACTTCCAGTTAAAAACTGTTACTTCAGGTTTGGAAGAGAATTCCTGTATCTGCTTTGTATCAAGCCAGGCAACCTCCTCAGCAGCAGCAAGGCATCCATGAAGCAGCCTGCAGCTTCATCGTCATGGCAGGTTACAGCAGACAAGCCCCAAATGCAGGCTGTCCGGGGGGAACGTGCCATGCCCACAGGGGCACAGGGAGTCTGCCAGCACAGCAAGCAGCTCTCCCGCCTGTACGGCACCCGCATGGGTGAAGGTTTGTGTTCCGAGACCCCTACACCACAGCTCAGCTCCAAAGCTCCCTTCCGGCTCACCCCAAATGCTGGGTGACCGAGGGTTTCAGGTACTGCTTCTTTCCTTGGCAATCTGTGCTGTAAGATCCAGGGCTCTTCGCAGGTGGGCACCCAGCTGCGACAACAAGTCACCCTGCCTGCCAGGCGGTCCACCGTGCTCAACTGCATTCCCCTAGCACTGCTAAGGCGATTCCTTCAGCCTTTCAGTCCTTTTGCTAGTGGCAGAGCCACACAGCAGCAGGCAATCTGCAGCCCCCCTCTCCCTACCCCACCCAGAGGCACCTAGGTACCATGCACTCAGCCTGAGACCTCATCACACCCCAGGCTAAGTAGGGTCAGACCAAATCAGTCCTTGGATGGGAAAACCTGCCAAAGAAAATGACTCTGAGCACTGATTCCCTGTGATTGTCACTGCAAACCTGCACACAATTACGAGCCACAAAACCAGAAACCCTACAAACCCTAAAGCAAACCCCAGGTATGAGCAGGGGAGACGAGGAAACTGCCCTTGCCC